GGGACCCTAATTTAGAGACTTACCCACACATCGAAACTCGCGGCCCGGCAATGAAAAAGCCGTAGTTTTTGTATTAGCCCGGTTTAGGGCTTAGGGTTTAGGGTTTAGGGTTTAGGGTTTAGGCTCCCTACGGCTTAGGGATTGCAGGGCTCACATTGGCCTAATTCCATAATTGTAGTATATGTGGACCCTCTGGGTTAGGGTTTCGGGTTTAGAGCTTCGGGTTTAGGGTTTAGGGTTTCGGGCTCACACCCTACGGCTTAGGCTGAAGGGTTTAGGGTTTAGGGCTTACACCCTAGAGTTTAGGGATTAAGAGCTTAGGGTTTAGGGTTTAGGGTTTAGGGTTATAGGGCATTGGGTTTTGGATTTTGGGCTCACACCCTACGGCTTAAGTATTGTAGGGCTTTGGGTTTAAGGTTTAGGGTGTAGGGCTGATCTACTGTGTAGGGATTATATCGCTTAGGGTTACGAAGCGCTTAGGAGTCAGGCCGGGCCCTGATAAAATAGTTAGAACCGGTTAACAGATTTCTGGGCTCCCTTGTAGTATATGGTTATAATAAGGAACGCTGAGGAATAATACTGGTAATTAGGCTTCTATGTTAACAGGGTTTATAACCTAGAACCCTAAACCCTAAACCCTCTGCTCACAACTCATACAGGCTTCCCTAAACCCTAAACCCTAAACCCTAAACCCTAAACCCTAAACCCTAAAGCCTAAACCCTAAACCCTAAACCCTAAACCCTCATACAGGCTTCCATGTTAACAAGGTTTATAGGGTCTGGATTTGGGAGGTTTAGGGTTTACGGCTCGGAGGTTTCGGGCTAAGCGCTTCGGGCTTGGGGCTTAGGGTTTCGGGGTTACGGTCTATGGCTTAGGGCTTGGGGGTTTGGAGTTTGGGGCGTAAGACATGGAATTACTCAGAATTCTGACCCCTCTTCTGCTGCAGAACAAGGTTTGCGTCTTCTCTCTCAGGGTTATTTATTTAAAAGGTTTCTACCAACCGTTGATCAATGTAGGTAAACCCTAAACTTGTAACCCAAAAACCCCCAACCCTACACCCCCGAACCCTAAGACCCTAAACCCTAAAACTCCAAAAGCCCTAAACCCTAAACCCTAAAACCCCAACACCATAAACCCTCAAACACTAAAGCCCATAAATTCTTTAAGGGGGGCTTAAGGCCGAGAATGGGAGTCCTCGAAGGCTTCTGTCATCAAGAGTTCGTTTAAAGGGCTGCATTCTGGTTTTTGGGTTTAGGGGTTTAGGGTTTTGGTTTAGGGTTTAGGGTTTAGGCTTTAGGGTTTAGGCTTTAGGGTTTAGGGCTCTACAGAGGTGCGGAGTAGGGTCTTGGGTGTCCTCTACTATGACTACAGAGGGACTAAGGCCTGAAGAAGTGGAAAATAAGCTTTGGGTTAAAGGCTTAGGGTTTAGGGTCTGTCATGTTACACGGGCTAGGGTGGCATGGAGTGATGTTGCCAACTATTGGGACTCTATAGTACATATGGACATCTACATGCCGTTGACACAGAAACAAGCGGTAAACGTCTGCACACCGAGAGATAGATATAGCGAGAAAACAGGGCAACTTGCCTGCAGAAGTGCACGATTACATCTATAAACACATAGCAACATGTGAGCAACCAGGAGCGATTTGCCACCGACCTAGTAGCTTTTCGGCGTGCACTCCCAAACTTGCACGCATGTAGGTTGACAACGTGTGCCGACTCCGTGATTTCGTGCAACGGACGCCACGGGCCGATTCAGCCTTGCACCATGCCAGCCCCAAAGGGTGCCAAGTCAACAACAGCTCGTGCAGGCCGTTCAATCTCTGGAACAGGGCTACCGTGGGCCCTGCGTTTGTGAAGGCAAATGCTGCGCAACAAATGCCTTGAGCCAGGCGGAGCTGCGAGTATGATGGTGATCGTGATAATGGCCATCGATCCCTGCTCGCACCTCCGGTGTAAGAGCAGCCATGGTCTCGGCTACAGTCTGCAAGCCTCGGCCTATGTACCAACAACAGTATCATGTCTGTAACTGTTCTAAACCCTAAACCTTGGGTTTAGGGTTTAGGGTTTAGAGTTTTAGGTTTTACGGTTTAGGGTTTGTGTGCCAATTTTTTAATGCTTGAACTGAATGATTGATCAACCAACCAACCTACCTACCTGCCTATCTACAGACACGTGTATAGATCCCTGAACCCTGAACTCTAAATCCGAAGAGGACCGGACGTTTCCATATCCAAAGCGACCCCCCGCGGATAGGCTGCTGAAGACCAGCCCTGCCATCCTACACCCGAAGCCCATATTTGGCTCTACGGTTGAACCCATGGGCCCTAGTATGGGCCCATTAACCCTAAAACCCTTATATACCTACTATACCCTATATGTACCCTTAAGTCCTTAAGGGACCCTAGAACCCCCCTAAGGGTCCATACATACTTCTAACCTTGGAGTGGCGTAAGCGCGAGGCCCTGAAACCCTAAGCAGCGCAATCGTTCAAAGCTCAGGTATCCACAAAAACCCCCGCCCATCCATCCTTCAAGGAGCCTTTAGCATATGCAGTTAGGGGTCACATACCAACGCCGAAACCCTACTATTGCTCTCCCTAAACCCTAGAGCATTAGAACTTTTGCTCAAGGTGCTAAAGGCTGTGCCGGCCACCCCGCAGATGGCAGCCAGGGCGCGTTGCTCCGCCGTCATCATGATTGCTCTTAGCTAAGTATCAAACAAAGGTTTAGGTTTGGGGGTCCCTAAGAATCGAATGAGTAGCCCGCAATGCCTTGTCTTGTTTAAAGGCAATACCATAGGGGCCTTAATGACAGAATAGAGGTTTTGGTGTACATTATACAATGCACACAATAAGAAGCCCCCTGAAATAGTAAAGGTAATTATTGAGGCCCATATATTGCCGTCGCTAGTTACTAGGTTCCCCGGTAGTAATACGGGTGCCCTTGTTCCTACTATTTGGTTTTATAATAAGGGAACCTAAAAAGAAAAGGGACAAAAGGGTCCTACTGGGAAATCTAGGTTGTTGTGGCTCCGGCAGGCAATTCTTGCCTTTCACTTTCAGGGCAGCCCCACTAGGCTCGGTGGCGGAATGTACGAAACCCTGAACCCCAAACAACCTACTTTTTTCAGGACTTATATAAAGAATTCATACTAGGGAACCCCGAAAAAAAGGTAGGTTCTTTAGGGTCCAGGTAAGCCCTAGACCCTAAAACCCTAAACCCTAAACCATAACAATATCGGTCGAAAGGTTTCTGGGATTCACCCTAAGGGTCCAGGTATCTCTTTAGGAG